AAGAATTCATAATGTGTTTGGGGAGTTTATGTAATGAACCTTCCTGAGAAAGGTGAAGTATCATCAATGCCTTGCTGAAAGTCTGTTATTAACTTTGCTGTACATCAAGTAGAGCATGCCTAAATACGTGCATAAGGCTGTGCAAAGTTTTTGAGGCTTTCTTTCAGTGATCCGCTAACTACATCATCATGCCCTGAAGCCGGTCTTTAAAAATGTGGTATGATGTTTAATCATCTGTGAATTGTAGCAGATTTCACAGGCATCATTAAAGTATATTTTTTGGGCTTTCAAGCCAATATAATTTTGGGCCCTAATAAGTTAAAAAGTATGCGTGAAGATAGTTCCAAGTTCTATAGTGGAAGCAGCACCCCTTCAAGGTTGTGGCTTCCATTGCTTAGTCCCACTGGGGCTGTCCTTACATAGGAAAAATATTATGTCAATAGTCAGGGATTTGCCATTACTCTGACCTGTCCAATTCCTGTCATGGATGTTCAATGTCTTTCTTTGCACCGGGTTCCAAAAATAGCTGTGTTTTCTGACCTGGCCAGTTGGGGACCACTTTATAGTTAGGGTTTGTGCAGAGCTTTCTCTGCAGCAAACCTGTGCTTTCTTCTTCCTCTCACTGTCTGTAGCTGTACCAGCTGCAGCAACCTTCATCTGTTTGCCTCCTGCAGCACTTCCTTACGTGGTTCTGGGAATCTACAAACTGGAAGAGAGCAACAAATGCCCCTTCCAGCTTATCCTCAGGGAGTAGGAAACTGATGTCTTGGCATTCCTGGCCTCTTGCTCACCCGAAAAAGAGTTTGGGACTCTGCTTTGGCCTCTGACAAGATGCTGGCAGAACAGATAGCATGACTGACAAGCAGCTGAAATACCCATTTTATTCTATCTACACTTTTATTGCTCGAGTCACACAATCACTTCTTCAATCTTAAAAACTCTTAGCTTGTACAGAGGGCAGCCCAAATCTGCAAGGAGGACCTTTGTGCCATGCTCTCAGCCACTCGGTTGTACTTTGATCTTCTGCTACAGGGGTCATCAGCTTTGCAGGTTCCTCCCTGGGTCTCTGTAACCCGCTTGTGAATCTCTTGTCTTGCAAGCCAGCAGCAGCCCTGTGGATGTTGGTCAGACCCACAGCGAGAGGAAGAGGATGTGGAGGATGCAGAGAGGTGTCCTGATGTGTCTTTGTAAAGCTGTTCTCTTATTTCCCTGGCTCCTGCTGCACCTTTCTGACACTTGAATTTTGGAGCTTGTGGATTTTCATGCCCAGCTTTTATTTCTGTTACTAGTTAGATCTTAGCCCTGAAGAACTTGCAGTTGCTGTCAGGTTTGTGCCAGGCAGTTGCAGTTGCCTCTGTGTACATGGTTTCACTGTCATAATTTCCAGCTCTTCCTTCCACATGCGTGCCCCTATCCACACGTACATATGCTGTCTTCCTTGCGGAGACCTACAGATATCCCTGACGGTCTTTTCTGATGTTTTCCCCACTGTTTTCCTGTCAACAGTCCCCTTGCCCCCCTTGGGCATATCTGGGTGATGAGATCAAATAATGACAAAACAATGTTTTTGGCTAATGCTTGACATCAGCCATGCCCTCACGTGCAGCCCAGCTGCCTCTTTGTGCTCAAAGCGCCACAAAGAGTCCAGTCTGAGTAAGCTTTGAGCAAGGTGTTTGCCTGTGGTAGCTCAGTACCTCCAACTGATCTGGGGGTGCGTTGAGCACAAACTGGAGAGTTCAGTCCCCTGTCCAAGAGGAGGTCTGCTGCAGTATTAAATCTCATCATAGTTACTGAAGTGGTAGAACAGTACTGAGATCTCCCATGGCTTTTTCCTTCCTATGTGCTGCAAAATGAATCAAGTAGATATTATGCAGTTTAATTCTGACTGTAGATGATGGCTTGACTTCCTCTTATCCCTAAACTGAGCTGTGGCAGAATGCAGGAGGGTTGTGGGGCTTTCAGTATAGTTGGGAATAAAGTTACATTGCACCCATGAAGCTACATGTCCAACCTTTGAACAAGGCAGTGTCAGCAAAGGCCAAGGGGTTAGATGGCTGTGGCTACTCTTTAACTTTCCTTTAGACATATTCTGAAGGAATCACACTAACCTCCCTGCTTACTGGTTGTTACTACTGATCTGTCAAGATACACCTCTGACCGTTATTTGAGACATTTTTGGAAAGTAAGAAATGTCATAATTTGGTATAGGTGTAGGCACAATGCAACCTTGTACTTGAAATAATGTTTATAGCTGTTCTTCCGGGGGGGAAAAAAAAAAAAAAAAAAAAAGAGAAGTGTAACTTCAAGACTCAGTTGGAAGTGGCTGTTTCCTTGATTCAGCACCAAGTCAAATGGGGTTGTCACTATATTTACAGCTTCTGCAAATATATCCCCATATAAGTGAACAATGTATGTCATGTAGGTGGTAAGCCCTATATTAACCTTTTAATTTGGCTCCATTCTTTTCCTCTTTATTCCTATTGATTACACTAATACTTTAAAACTCTGACTTCCTGGAGAAATGTTTCACAGCGTTTGTTAGTGTTCAAACCAGCCAAGATCATGTTGGGATGGATTTCTTCTTTTTTCTTAGGGCACTGTTTGCCTGGAATTGACTTCTGTTTGATTCTTCAGTTCCGAATACCTCATCTCATTCTTTCCTAGCACTGATCTACTATAAGGATGTCATTGGGACAGAAATGAGGGGTTTGATAGTGCATGAGTATCTGACTCCTGGACAAGGCTATGGGGTCAGAAAAATTATCTTGATCCCCAACACATCAATAGAAACTGGTTTACCTTTAGCACTGTAAGTGGAGAGGGATGGTTGTAGATGACAGCTAAATGAGGTCAGAGAACTTCACCAGTCAGTTCATTGACATCCAAAATGTGGAGGGCATAACTCCTATGCAGAGATACTGATTTATATCTGCAGAAGGACTACTTCCATTCTGTTTTTAAACATAAGCCTTACCTTCTGAATTTCCAGGCATTGGGGCATTTTCTCAAAATTGTCCAGCATTGTGCACAGCGCTCTTCCATTTTTCTCCGTCAGCTGCACGCTAGTCTTTTAATGACCCTTTCTGGCAGTCTTCCTTTGTGCCTGCCTGTGCCACAGGGATGCAGTGATAGTAACAGGAAGGAGACGATAAAGAAGATAAAACCTCTACTCATTTTCTTGCACTTCCCCTTGGTGCGGCCTGCACGCGGGCGGTGAATGCATAGTCCTTCTGCGGCAGTGTTAGGCTCCCTCAGCCCACGGAGTCTCTGTTAATGCCCTGTGTAACATGGTGCTGGTGCAGAGCAAGCGCCACACAGACCCGTTGCTGGCTTCGTGCCGGCGGGGGTCTCTCCCAGCGGTGGCTTCTGTGCCACCTTCAGCCAAAGCATCCCCACAGTGCCGTTCAGGCAGCTGGCACATGCCGATTCCCCCTGCAGGCGCTGCCTGTGTCTCACAAGCTCCTGCCTTTGTAACTGCAGCCCCCGGCTCCCTCCTGAGTCAGCGTTGTCACGGTGTGTTTGTTGAAGCGCCTTGTGAGCCAAAATCCGCTGCTGTTACAAAGTCAGCAGCAGGGCCAGTTCTGCCGGTGTCAGTCATATCGGTCATTAACATCTGAAGAGATGACGTGTATTTTGTTTTCCCTATTCAAATAACAGAACTGCCAGAACCAGCATATGGGACAGTGTGGTCCAGAGGGCTCTCCTGCATTGCAAACCCAACATCTATGCGTGCCTTCTCTCCTTGAATGACATTATTTCTGTTTTGCTGATGTCACCCATCGATTAACATGTTGTAACCTAGTTGCTATGATCTGGAGGGAAGAGCGAGAAATAATTGTATGGAAAGGAAGAAGTCCTCTGACAGCTGTGGTTCTCAGGTGCTAACTATTTTGGGAATAATACTGCAAAAAGAGAAGATCAAAGATCACAGTGCAGATATTTTGGGTTTTCTTTATTGTATGCTCTGGATGCAAATTCAGACTGATAATTCTTCAAATACAGCAAATAAGGCAGTGTAAAAAGTTGTAAAAATGTTGTGTCCCGTCCCCCCCCCTTCATATTTATCATGGGTTGGAGTGACCAAAATCAAAGCAAGCTAAACAACTCACTGTGAAAGTAAACACAGCTGCTTTTCTGCTTTTTTTTTTTTTTTTTTTTTTTTTGCATAGCTATAAGAAATAAGTGGGGAAATGCAAAGAATCCCTTTATGATGAATAGTTTAGAACAAGGTTAGTAACAATTTACCTTTAATTCAGTGCATTAGCAGATTGTTCTCCATGACATTCAGTGGTCTTGGGTCTAAACAGAGCCTTTTGTCTCTGGTGAGGTTTTCATCAGTGAGAAGGTTTATGTTTCAGAGGGCCATGTTCAACAAGCTGCTTGTGTAACCAGGCAAACAGTTAACTTGACTGAAAATGATGCCATTCCTTTTCATTGTGAGCATGTATGGATGTTTCAGTATAGTTACTTGGTTGCTCATTCATGCACAGGCATAAGTTCAGGAGCCTGTGGAAATGCATGTGTTTAAATGTATCTTTTTCTTTCTCTCACCTTTCACGTAGACTTAGCGGTTGAACCAAATTGCTAAAAATCCTCAGGGGTTTAAAGGATTAAATGAGAACAGTTGTTAAGGTGCGGGAAGGGCTGAAAAGTCCTGAAAATATGATAGGAGGTTGATGCTGAAGGACCTGCTTAGTGAACTATGGCCTCCGCTGTTATGGGTATAAATATAACAGCGAGTGGCAGACTGGCAGGTTGGTAGAGATTTTATAGCTAAAAAACTAAAAACCAACCAACCAAAACAACAACAACAAAAAACCCCAAAACAAACCAAAAAAGAGATCTAGTGATGGCTGACCTGAAGGTTTGCTGGGCGGTTTGGTGAAGCCAGCGAGGGTTGCAAGATCAGTGCTAGTTTTCATTTCCACGTAGCTGCACTCTTCTGTTCCCACTGGTTCCTGCAAGTAACCTGTTCCTTCACGTTTTTATGTTTGTCTCAGGTACTGAAAGGTTCAGGCCGGAGATTCTCCTTCACTCTCCATAGCTGCCAAGCGGCACCGCCCTGAGGAGAAGCGGCGGTGGGAAGGCGGGGGCTGCCCCTTGGCTGCAGCTCGTTGCAAGGCCCGCCGGGCCTCCCCGTGCCAGCCGCCATGGAGACCCTGTCCCAGGACTCTCTGCTGGAGTGTCAGATTTGCTTCAACTACTACAGCCCCCGCCGGCGGCCCAAGCTGCTGGACTGCAAGCACACCTGCTGCTCGGTGTGCCTGCAGCAGATGAGGACCAGCCAGAAGGACCTGCGTTGCCCCTGGTGCCGCGGGATCACCAAGCTGCCGCCGGGGTACTCTGTGTCGCAGCTGCCCGATGACCCTGAGGTGATCGCCGTCATTGCGATCCCCCACACGTCAGAGCACACCCCTGTCTTCATCAAACTCCCCAGCAATGGGTGCTACATGCTGCCCTTGCCCCTCTCCAAGGAGAGGGCACTACTGCCGGGAGACATTGGCTGCCGCCTCCTGCCCGGTGGCCAGCAGAAGTCCCTGGCGGTGGTGACGATCCCAGCAGAGCAGCAGCCGCTGCAGAGCGGCCTTCCCGCTGAGGGGGGAGCAGAGGAGCCGGACAGGAGGGGCGTTGTGAAAAGCTCCACCTGGTCGGGGGTTTGCACTGTGATCCTGGTGGCCTGCGTCCTGGTCTTTCTTCTGGGCATCGTTCTCCACAACATGTCATGCATTTCCAAGCGCTTCACAGTGATCTCCTGTGGCTGAGGCCAGGGGGGGGGGTGGGGGGGGGTGTGCTCCCCGAGGCGTTGGGTTGGGTCGGTGGTGGTGGTGGTGGTGGTGGTGTTGAGCAAGACAATTCACCTCGGCTTTGCCCAGTGACTGCAGAACGCTGTGCACCGGGGCAGGGGTGCATCGGCCTGGCCGCAGCCCCCGATGGTGCAGCCTCAGGCCTCTCGGCAGCGTGCGGGGAAAATCACGTCCCGTGTCTGGCAGCAATGGCACTGAGGAGGACTGCATGCATCACCATAATCATTTATCAAAGGGACTGCAACTTACAGTGATTTTTTTTTTAATGTGTTACAAGATTAAAGACATCTGTGTAGCTGGTTATACTGTAAAGTATACAGTATGAGCTTTTCTCTAAACACAGTAGATTAAAATCAAAACTGCTCCATGTAGAATTAAAGGAGATTTGGCGTGTGACTCTCTACAAGGTGTTCAATACCAGTCCAGACATGCGTTATTTTTTAATGGGGGGAAGGGGGAGACTTGTAAAAACCAAGAAATCATTTAGCTGGTAAAGCATTTTATATGTTTTAAACTGCACATTAATTAAACCAAGTTAGGGAGTTGTACAATAATTTTTAAAAGGAAATGTTTTACGGGCAATAGTTTATTCCATGGTGTGTGTTTTTTGCCTCTTTTTTTTCCCCATTTTTTTCAACTACAGGGAAGTGGTGCTTCCATCATCTTTTATTTGAAGGAGCTTCCAAGCAGGGAAGCAAAGTGGGCTAGGAGGAACACCTAAAAATGCAGCCAAAACATTTCTGCCTAGCTGGCTTCACGCAAAGGATGGCTTTGAATGGCAAACACTGGATGTACTATTTTACCTCCAATCTGGCAGCAGGGCTTTCCAAAAACATGGCCTTCATAGCCACTAGTGAGGAAATGGAGTCATGAGAAGTCCTAGGACGACTCCTGCAAGGATGTGATAGCAAATTGTTGTTGTTTTTCTTTTTCTAGAGGTTGGGTTTTCATAATTATTTTAAAAGAATTTAGACCTATTTTGCCTCCCTCTTTCCTAGTAGATGCAACTGTGCACCAATGGATGGTGTGACAGAGGAATTGCTCTAAGGAAGCCCCACCATCCCAACTGAGACCAAGGACCCTTATATGCAATCATCTAGTAAGAGGCAGTGACACAGCTGGGAGGAGGACCCAGGCCAGCCTAACCCTCTGCTGGGTGGGCTACCCCTCCTAAACCAGTGTGTCTGTCCTGGTGTCAAAATGGGGGAGCCTTTTCCCACATTCCAGTCCTATAAATGTTGGTGTGCGTAAGGACAGATTTGAAAAAAATACAAGGAGTGGTTTGTTTGTGTTGTGGTGTTTTTTTTTGTTTTTTTTTTTTTTTTTTGTTTTTTTTTTTGTTTTTTTTTTCCAAACACCTGTGAGTGTCATGAGACCCTGGTGATTTGCAGTTCACTTCTTGGAAAGAGCCAAATTCCTGAACCTTCACTGTAGTAGTGCTTTGCTCTAAGCAGTGCCACTAACTTTACTAGTACTGCCTGTAAGTAAAATAGACCTTAGTGTGAATTTGGGTATTTGGCAAGTCTGAAAGCTGAAATTCATGTGAGATTTAGGGATTAGATCAAGGGGCACATGACAGACTCTTAATAAGACAGAAAAATATATTGATCTGCACTGCTGCTTTTTGCAAGTACAAAGTGTAACCTCCCTGAAGCGCGACCTCTTATCATATATCTCCTGCTCTTTCTAATAATTAATTGGAGATTGTTCAATGCCACATTATAACACTGGAGAACATATATTTGACTACACGGTGCCCAAGTTGGCCCTGTGGACAACGGTGGTTTTCTGGTTATGTCACAAAATCCAATTGCTGGTTCACAATAAACATTCTCAGCTAGGACTTCTGTCAGGAATACACCTCTAACTTCATGCTGGATTTCTTTCCCTCCCTGTTCCCAAACCACTATTTTATTCCTTGATTCCTCTTAACTGAAGAATAGCATAGCATATACGGTGCTTAATTGTTATGGTGTGTGTTGGGTCATGTATGGAGAGAAACCATTGTGCTGATTTTTATCTACTGTCATATGTATGCATAGCACAGCAAAAAAAAATCCTCAGATAACACGTTCAATGCCTTTTTTGTGCAAGGATCATGTGCAGTATGCCTTGAACCTGGCTTATGAGTATTGTAATTACATGGCCACCATTGTTTGATTTGGTTGCAGTAGGGAACAGCAGGTGTTCCAAAATGTGTCTTGTTGAACGTGGTAGTCTCTTGTTGCCAGTAGGTAGCCAGATTTCTAATGACGTCCATGTTATGCTGCTTATTGTGTAAAGGAAAGCCAGTTCACAGAGAAAAATCTTGCCTTTATAAGACTCTGGAGGATATGACCTGATACAGGACCAGACCTTCTACTGCCTTATCCCCTGTAGCAATTGCTAAGTGTACCAGGAGCAGATAGCATAGCTGGAAGATGCTCTGAGAACAGTGCTGATGCGTTTTGCATCAGCTTCTGCATTTGTTTATCCAAGTTGTCAATGTCTGCACAAAAACATGAGGCAGTCAAAGAGCAGGTCCTGGAGGTAAATTGCTGGTAACGTTAACCTCCTTCCAGCTGAACCTGCCTGACTGAAGCTCTTGAGGCCAAGGTTTCTCTGGTGTTGCAAAGAACGGCTGTCTTGAAAATCACTCTCTTTGTTGCTACATGGAGGGTGCAGTATGAAAGAGAAATCAGAAATTAGGTTAAAATACCATACTGCATAACACATGCGACGGGCAGCCCTGGAGTTTATCTGGTATTAGTGACATAAGTACTATATTAGCAGAATACCATCCTGTATTACGTAACACAGTACATCGTTTTGTTAATACGAATTTCCTGTACTTTTTGTGCCTGCTGAAATGCACGTTTGACCTAATTTCTGATCCAGACATTTGCCTGCTCACAGCCTCATGTAAGAGCAATAAGTAAAACCTCAAGATTTTTGCCTGCGTGTGCACGCACGGTGTGTACATTCATTCAATTCTGTAAGTAGGAGTTCGGGAGATGTTTTTGTTCTGGCTTTCGACTGTGACTATCATTTCTAATTTGCAGCTGCCATATCATGTTTAATCACCTAGCTTTTTTGCTGACTTGTGTAGAAGTGCACTAAATAGTTTGTTGTGATATACAGTGTTAAAATGTTTCTCAAGTATGTTGATAGTCATACTACTTTAAAAATGCAGTGCAGTCTGTCACGTTCCTTGGTCCAATACCTGGCATTAAAAAGTGATACGGCTATATACACCTCTAACTTTCTTTTTCTTTGTCTTTGTAATTTTTCTGTGGAGAAACACATTTGGACTTGTGTCAAAATCATCGGGTTCTGGGCTAGTTTTTGTTCTCTGGTGTCCACTCAGAAATCACTGCCCAGTTCCACCAAAAAAAAAGAAAGAAACTTACTATGACACAGTACTGTTTGAGCAACCAAAATTTATGCTAAAACTTGTGGAAAATTATTCAAGCACCTGCATTTTTAGAGCAAATTACTCTGTATGAATGTGTATTTATTTGCTTGTTTAATGGGACGGATGTGTGTGTTGGGGTCCAGCTTCACTTTTTTCCCTTGGGGATCCCAACTTCCATTTTTGGCTTGTGCTTTCCTGGCAAATAGACTTTAGGGTTCACTCTGTGAAATTTTGTTTAGTGAATTTTAAAAATTCAAAATATGCAATTTTGGTATGTGGGATTTTTTTAGGAAATTGTGTGTAAAGTGATTGTTCATGCTTAACCGAGATGTAAAGGAGCCTGGATGTTTTGTAAAAATGGAGCAATTGTGAGTCCAAAGTTTCATCTTTATTAATGAAGTTCGGTCTGAATAAAACATTAGCAGGAAAAGAATGGTATCACGTGAATTATGGTACCTCTGTTACTTTGACATCAAATGAAGAGCGTGGAAGGGAATTTGGCAGAATTGCTCCATATTTTCTAAGGGGGTGGCTGAAATTCAACTCTCAGTGTTTTAAGGCAAAGTGTTAAATGTGGGTTGTGGTAAACAGTAGAAGGTTGTTCATGTTTTAGTTACCTTGGAATAGAGAATTATAGCTGATGACTGCTGAGCCACGCAACATTTTAAATTTTTTTTGCTGTTTTAATCAGATGACTTAAAATTTAAGTAAATGTTTTGCTTATGGAAGTGAGGGATTATTGGCCTTGACTTAAGCATGTATTGTACAGACAGGCACGCCGGCTCCCCGTTCCCTTTGAGCCCCCCCTTCCCAGTCAGGTTATTATTGCTGAATCCCTGGGCAGCCAACCTTTCTAATACTGCAAACAGTTTTCTGGAGTAGAGATGGCTGACGTTGCACTGGTTTTGTTACATTCACAACAGGGCTAAACCAAAACCAAACAATTCATACATGATTTGAGCTCTTCTGTATCAAAAGCTCCAGGCACCAGTCTACTGTGTAAACTGGTCCAAGGCTCTGTGTTCCCTGGATCTTTTCACAGCAATGCCACGTAGCAGAGGTTGTTGCCTCCTCCCAGTCATAGAAAGGGGCTGTACCCACCATCCACAGCTAAACTGCCCCCGGGCAACGTGGCCTGCTGGCATGAGACACTTGTGTGAGTGCTGCAGGAGACATTTGTATGTCAAGTGAGCACATCTCAAGTAAATGTTGGAGTTGAAACACTTCCTTAGCCTAGTTGCACAGAAAGCGTGGCTTGAGATTTTTTTTTCTTCCCCCAGACTTTTCCTATGAGCTGTTGGCAACAGCTGAGCCCCAGCATCATCTGGGAGGTTGTTGAAGGATCTGCTGGCCCTGAAGGCAAAGGTTTTTGTGCAAGAGCTTCTGTAGGACAAGATTGTCTGGAAACGCTGCAATGGATTTATGGCATGTTAGTGACTTTTCTGGTGCTCTGCACTGTCCATAGGCCTGACAGCTGGGGCTGTTGTGTCCTGTGTTACTTTAGGTCTTGCATGCTCGCGTCCACAAGCAAAGCTGCTTGCTTCATCCTCAAATTGAACAATTTTACAGACATTTCTTAAGTTGCCCTGAGCATCTCTAATGAAAAAAATTAAGTGAAATGTAATGCTTAATAAATGTTCAGAAAATGCTTCTTTCAAGCACTCCCTTATGCTTTAATACATTTTAATTTTGGTTCTAAATAATTCCTGTAATTTTTGTGCTAAGCATGTTCTGGAACATCAGAGGCAATTCTGAGGGATTAGGTAAGATCCACAGCCAGAAGAAAATATTTCCTATCCCCCTCCATTCATCCCACAGTCCTCTTCAGATCTACACAAATCTGTTTTTACTCTCCTCACCTATATCACACTGAAGAACCTAAGTGCGGGGATCAAACAGGAACTCATGGGCACGTATGGAACCCCTATACATATGAACACAGGAACATGTTTCTGTGCTTGGGGGTAGGTTTGCACACAGCACGTGCTCACGTGTAGTAGAGAGGCCAAGAGGATTAGTAGAGGGCCTCGGGCTCTTTTTTCTCAGGAAGGTCATGTACACGAGGTGCTGAGAGAGCTTGGTAGCATGAAATCTACCTGGATTTCCTGTGGGATGAGTTGCTGCCCCCTCTCTGAGCTGTTGCCTGCAAACCAACTCCTGCTGTTGGATGGGACTCACTGCTCCACAGGTGATGCCTTGTCTGGGATTCAGGTGAAGAGCCAAATCATTTCTCCAGGCTGGGTTGTCCACTCAAAAAGGAACAGACAGATGTCTGAGCTTTTAGTTTATATGGGGTCTGTAAGTTCAAGTGGAGGTCTTTCGGAACAGAACTGCATAAAGCACTCCTGAGAGCTTGAAGGCAACATACATACTTGCCCTGAACTGGTTTGAAAGAGTAAAGAAAGGGTGTAGAAGGAGAAGGACAGCTGGAAATGAGCAAATGGATTAGGCAGTAGCCTGAAAATTCAGATCTGTATGTGCAAAAAGAAATCTACTGGGCATGTTTTGCAGTGCCCTGCATATGTCATTTCTGTCAAATTCTATCTTGAGAATGGTAGTGAAACTCCAGATCTTGCTTTTCCTTTGACACCTTTGAGCTGGGAAGCTGCCTATTTCAAAAGTGCAGTTTTCCACCTGACTGAGAAACTTGATGCATGTGCAGAAATTTTTTAGGGTGCTGAATCATCACTGAAGCTCAAGACTCAGACACAAGCAGAACAGGAATTCAGCAGGAAGAAGCTGGAATAAAAAAGAAAGCAAAACCTTGAATTCTTCGTGTGTGCAGATATATCACATTGTTTAAAATAAAAACTTGTTTTATTTGCATGTGTGTTGACCAAAGGTACAAAAGCAGGTGGTCATCTCCTAGGACAAATAATGAAGTTGACAGTTGATAATGCCAAACAGCTAAAGACAGGATTTATTGAACCTATTAGGTCTGAGAAGCTGAAAACAGAAGTGGCTATTTGGTACAGCAATTGTACTCAAAAGAAATAGGATTAGTTTAGAGGTCTGTAGCTTTCTGGCTTGGTTTTCTAGATGGAGTAAATAAAAAGAGAGACCCAAGTAGTTTTGTGCTGAATGTTATTTACTTGCCTTCTCAAGAATTACAAAAAGATGTGTGTGTGCTGTCACTGCGCTGATCAGTTTTGGAATCGTTGCCTTACAGGTGCCTGCATGCACTGACTAGGTCTGAATCATTGAGGTTTGCATCTGCTTGTGAGAAATCTGGATCTGCTTCAAGATCGGAGAACATCTTCCCTGCAAGATGGTTTGAATTCATGTTGTTGTAAAGTGTGTGATCTCACTTTGAAGAATTGAAGAACGATGGTGAATCTTACAATACTTTCAAAGCAGCGTGTCATGGGGTAGACGTGTGTGGCTGACTGAGCATAAAAGGAAGCTCAGTTCCCAAGCATGGCCAATTTGCTGATTGAACTGCAAATGAACAATTTCTTGCTTAAGTTATTTGAAATAATAGTCACAGATGTTTCTCAAAGATTTGCTTAAGAAATATAGTGAAATATTTGGGACATGATTTAGGAAAATATGCTAGCAGAAAGCACTAAAGCATTAAATCTAAGGAAGATGAAGGTTTTTGGTCACACATGATTAAATACTTTCTTGAATAGAGGTGAACTTTACACTTAGGTTTTTGTTTCTTGATACTTGGCTAGTCTGCATGATTCTTAAAGAACATTTGAAGTAATAAGTGTTGCTTTTGAGAAGGTTTAATTTTGAAATCTGAAAGCATGTTGACTAGGAGAGACTGTAACACCCCCAGGCAGCTGTTTTCAAGCACTTGAGTGTAGAAACCTGTATTTCTATAACTCCTACTTTTAATTGCTCATTGTACATAGCTGAGAATTTGTAACTCATAGTGGAAAAGAAAAAAGCTTGCAGTTCAAACCCATACCAAAACCCACCCTAGGAATCCAGTGTGATGATGATTTTAAGAACTCAGGAGAAATAAATTGTATTCTAATCACTTCCTTTTTGCTGTGCTGAAATGCTGAGGGATTTGCTAAACCTGCAGGTTGATAAAACTGAATCCCTGCTTAATGATTATAGTTGCTAAACTGGCTAACTGCAATGGATACATAGTGTGTTCTTTCTTTTCCCTTCTGACCTCTTCTGGTTTAGAGAAGACAAGATTTGGACAGTTGTAGCTGGATTGAACAGGGTGATAAGAGTTGTAAAATGTTACCAGCAAGAAGTGTGGTTTTGTGATAAACAAAGGATTGCAACACTGAACGTCTTTCGGCAGCCATCCAGGCAGAACAAGCATGCAGCAACTCCAGCAAACCTCTGGGATTGAGAGAAATGTTGTCAGGAGTACTGGATAAATGAGGATATTTTTTAATACCCCAGGTATTGTCTGTGTTTGTTATTGCTGATGCGTGGCATCTTTGGGTTTGGGTTCTTTCTTTTGTCCTTTATAACACAGAGCTTAAAAAGCACTTCATACTACTTTCTTATGAGCGTGCCATCTCCTGTTTTCTCTTCTTCCAGCCCATTGTTTGGCCATCCTGTCTCCCTGCAGATTTGCAAGGAGAAACTTACCTTTTTATATATGAGTGACTGCAAATTTCTACTGCATTTTCAGTGATGAAAATGGTAGCGAGTCTCCACAGAAATAGGAACATCTTCAGGCTCCACACAGTGTCTTACTTGCAATACCCCTTTGTCTGCTGTTATTATCACAGGTCCTCTCTAAATGAGTATTTTGGATTATTTTTTGTTTACTATAGCCCAAATATTTTTGAAAAAAACCCAAACCAATAACAAAACAAGAGAAAACAACTTGGAGACTAGAAATTATTTTCACAATCTGATTTTTAAGATAAGATAATTCATTAACAGCTTTTTTTTTTTTTTTTTTTTTTTCAGTGTATCAGTGACATTAATTTTGTGATTCTACTTCCTCTGGTGGGGGAGGGAGATAAGGAATAAGAAAATCCATATTCATGGCTTCGATTAGGTCTGCTGTGTTTTGAAATGTATGTATGTGCTTCTGTTTTGTAATACCTCATAAACCTAACAGCTGAAAACTGCAATAGCACCAAAATCTTAATGAAATGTCACGTGCTGCCTATTACGTTTAAAATGCCTGCTGAAATGTGCAGAGCCTGGACTTTCTGGATGTCGAGCACACAGAGCACTATACGTGGAATTATTTTTGACTCAGTTCTCTGAGATCAAACTTGAGTCTTATGCCTCATTTAAAGCCGTTAGTGGACTTGGCCTCTGAGGATCTCTGTCATATGTCCCATATGCAGTGGCAGTCCTCATTTTATAGATCTAAAGCAAGCAGCATTCGATAAGGAGATATTTACTGATTTTGAGGGCAAATTATCCACCTCCTTGAGAAATTGTTAAATCCTTGATCAGGTCAGTGACCTGACTTTTGCCAAAGGAGGATGTGAATTTGGTTAAATCATTTCAACACAGTCTGCTCCTGCTGCGTTTGCTCGGTGGCCCAAGAGGAGGAGGCATGCTGGGGCAGATGTTGAGCCAGGTGAAACATGGATGTGACCCACCACAAATCTATGTTGAAACAATGGCCCTGCAAGGACACGCTGTGAATACTCTCCTTTGCTGTAATGGTCCAACGTAACATCTCTGGTCAGAGTGTGGGGTTGTACGGTTCCTCTGATGTAGATATGACTGTTAAGGTTTAAAAGGACTGTGAGAACCTTTCTTTAAGATTCCTTCAGCTTTCTATGTC